GAGACAGACGGCAAATTCGTTGCAACGTTTTCGTACGCAAAGCTGAAAAGTTGCCCCGGCGATTTCCTAGCAATGCTAGGCATATTTTTACGGTTTAAATGTTGCTCTTGCTTCCATGCTAGCTGAGGTAAGTGACAAAACCGGCAATATTTTCTCACCTGGCCACATGCAAAGGGCTTCCTTGTGCGATATCGTAAATTTCGTTGTTGTTCCGCAATGTAGGTGTTCAATGAGAAGAAAGTGCAACTCCATGCTTACATTAACTATGGCATCAATCAGCGCCCTTCTTGTATGAAGATGAAAGATTAAACATGCACAACAGAAGAAAGATGAAAAACTGAACGGCTTGTGTATCTGCGCACGCGTACTGACCATCCGTGCTTTGGTATAACAGGGAATCATAAGACCTTTGAATAATTAATTATGCGTGCAACGACAACACTGATAAATAACCATATTATATTTAAAGAAAGAAACTAAAATGAATAGCGATACGTCTGAAGTGCATACTGCTGCATAAGTTCAAGCATCAGCGGGCACCGCGACAACCAGTCAGTAGGCGACGGACGTATAAAACATTATCTGGCATGTGAACGGACGGCCGGTCGAACGAGGCGCCGACGTTGACCGGTCAGCGACAAGCGGTGGACGGGCGACTCGATGACCGGCTTGCCACCACTGCACGGCACTCGGACACCGCTGATCGGCTACGGCAGAGCAGCGGGCAGCATTCGCACGACATGGAAACGAAACAGAAAATAAATAAGAACAGAAGTACCGTATAAGCCGGTATTTTAAAGTGGTCGAAATCAGTCGAATGACGCGCGTGCACTGTCTAGGAACCACCATGGTTCGGAATCGCAAAACCCGGAGGCGGCGTTTGTACCACTCGCAAGTTCGACGGCCATCGTGAAGAAAAATCTGAAACGGAATACAAAGTAATCATTTCTGAACTGGGTGCATATTCAGTGCCTGAGGACACACAAGAACAGATGTTTCTGGCGTATCAATGCCGATGATAGTGACTGATATACCATACGAAGTAGGAAATGTTTAATGCAAACTGAGATTTTGGGCAACATTGACAACGCTTCTTCCTAAAGCATTTCCTTTAACAAATGTCCGTTATATCAGTCAACTTTCAACGTGTTCCCTGACTTTTGGTATAGTCTATGGCCACACTTAAAAATGAACCACCAATTATTTGGTGTTTCCCTACGCTTCTTCGATGGTACTATCGCTGTTACGAGCACGCGACATAACAATTATCATGCCTTCTTTCCACATGGTTGAATCAACGGCGCTGTTGTCATTGCAACCCCAACTGTGCCTCTTATAACGATACTGCGGACGCGATCCTTGCTGCTGACATGAAACATCCACCTGAGTATTCGTATTTCTACGGTTACGAAAATTCAATTCAGCAAACAAGCTAAGTTTCTATCACTGTTCTTTAAGCCTTTCCCGTTAGTTCCACTGTCATCTTTTTATCTCATAGCAGCCAACTCTTCTCTCAACTGACAACAACTTTTTCGGTCGATTAATAACCACTCATCGATTTGGACGTTGCCCTGTATGATATAACGACACTTAAATTTCGTCTAAACATTCTTTGACATTCCGTCATGAAATTAATAGCCCATCACCCATTTAGCCTAGTTCCAATTTAGGCAAAGCCTGCTTACTCATGAAGTACACTTCATGCATCGGCTTTCTCTTCCAACCCCCTGCTTCATGCTGCACGATGTTGCTCTATCCATTACTCTGTATAAACTACAGTACTCTCGCTGTAAGTAACGTATTATCAAGACAGCCACAAACGAAGCAAAAAACTGTAAAAAGCTGCATACGTTCACTTTAAACGAGCTACAAGAACAATCTTTGACAAAAACACTGTACTCCATACTTCAGTAAGAAATGATTTTGACAGGCAAATATGAACATTAATCAATATACAAAAGCGTTCAAGCAGGTACAAAAGCTTTGCTGAAAGCTACGGAAATTTCATCGCACAGGAGCCCAAACCCACAGCAACTTAAAACCACTTCTGCTGTGTTGTAGTCTTTCAAGCTCTGATATGACGTGACCGGACGATGATGCTGATGCAGCTGTTCACAGATTGTCGTAATCGATGGGATACCCGCTTCTCGACTGGTTGCAACGAAGCACAGGGGAGTGAAATTGTTGCTCAAAGGAATTATTAGCAAATTTAGGCCGCAATAAAATGCTTATGCGTCCTTATTAAGTTCAAAGCTAAACAAGTTCTTCCTGCCCTAAAAATAGTTATGGATAGTACTTTCTTCAATGTAGTGTCCAACAAGACGATCGCGATAAAGATCTTTAATACCTCTCAAACGTCGCTGGTGCTACCAGTTGAATCTGCGAAAGTAGAAAAGCAGACTTGAACCAGGACTTGTTCAATAGATGCCGCAGAAAATTACAACCATTCATATTGTCCTCGTTTGTCACTGCTTTTTGTCCAGTGCAAAGCATCACATAGTCATACGTCCATTCTTGTGCCAAGTTGGTTCATGACTTGTCGATAAACGTCGTTCAGTTTCCTTAATGGCTGATGACCAGCTATCTGACAAATCAGGCAATAGAACTTTGAACACTCCAGCATCCAGTCTGGGTAAATAAAACTAAAGTCTGAATCTATTCACTTATACCGTGAAATTAGAGTTTACTGTGGTTTCTACATATTCATCCCGCTACGTCGCTAAGACGATTTCTTCAGTTTACTTGCCGTCCTCAGTACG